GCTAGAGACCCTGAAGCCCAAGGCCTTGCAGTTGCAGTCGCCGGCTGATGGACCACAGGCAGCTTCTTCGCTGTTCAGGGTTTGCGGGCTCAAGGTTTGGGGTGTCGGGTTTGCGTTAGAGGCTTCGGGCTAGCCGTGCAGGGTCTTGGGTCTAGGCTTCGAGGTTTCGGGTTTGCGGTTCAAATAGGGCCTTATGGTTTTTTGCTCACAGTTGGGGGGGATGAGAGAATGCTTGTTTGTAAATTGCTTTGCGTGACACGTTGCAGGTCAAACAAGTTGGAGACGATGTTGCGGTCGGAAGTATCAGTTGCTTAGCGGATGAATCTCTTTTATGGCTTGAGCAACTCCAAGGGGGATAAGGGTACGTGGACCCCTAGAAATTCAGTAGAGCATGAACCCTGCTGACACAATCTCCAAAATCTCAAGCCTTGAACTCAAAAACATGAATGAGGCTGCGACAGGTCATGAACTGTCAATTCTACGCACTGAGCCCTCTCCAAGTCCCCGACCTAATCCCTCAAAGCCCGCAAGTTCAAGACCAGACCTCAAGTGTAGGCGCTCCAGCAACTCCGCAGCCTGCTTCTGGCTGAAGAGAGCGTGACGGCGTTTGAGCTAACGTGCAGTGGCTCTCCAGTCCTGTGTTCTAGAAGCGCATAGATGAAGTTAGTCCATAGAGCTGGGCAAAACTTTTTCTGTTCCTTTCTCAAGCTGTTTGAGGTGGTTGGATGGGCTGTGGAACCTCATAGAGGCTGTAAAAGAGAATGCTTGGCAGATTCCTCGTTCGGAGCAAATTCTGCAAAAGGATCCGAGTACAGGTAGCATGTGCCTTTCCTTACTCAGTACCTTGGCCTGTTGGGAGCCGGGCTTGGGAGTGTTTTTCATCCCTCCCAGCAGGAAGCTTCAAAGTTCTGTGACGGTTCCTCAGAGTTGATGTTCGAATAGCTGTAGGCATGTTGATTGTAGTCAGGGGAAGCGTCGCATGACCAATAAGAACGGCACAGCAGTTTCTGGAGCCACAGCACCTCAACGCTTCCGCAATCTTTCTAAGTCTCTTGTCGGCTAGGAAAGTCATCATGTCATCGTTCTGTTTTTTTTGGCATTTGTGGGCGGCGGAGAGTTCTAGGCCAGTCCCCGCCAGGTGTTTCAAACGCGTTGTCTGCATTCCTCTTCCCGGAAGGATGCCAGAGTCCTGGTGGGCTTGGGATCGCATGTGATTTTCGGCAAGCAAGGGGTGGACGTTTCTTTGAGCCATGTATCTTGACGTTAAGGTGACGACCCTGACATCTTCAAAGAGCGTCTGAGGCCATGCCGCTACAAAGTTATCTGAAAGTTTCTATGCGGTCTGGGTGTTGGATTCATGCAGTTTCACTGTGACGCAGGCTCTTCCTGGAACACATTGTCGCACCACCTGGAGGACATGCGAAGACTCTGCGGTTGCTGTGCAAAAGCGAGCATGTAGCACCAGCTGTGCGCTTCTGCTAAATGCTTCAGTAGCGGCAGGTAGGCAGCGATCGCCGCAACAATTGCTGATGCTTACCTTCCATGACCTTCAAGCCTTGCTCGCCTACCCGCACAAGATTGATGTTGAAAGCTCCAGCCTCTGTATTCTTATGTTATCTATTAGCATATAGGTATATAGATATATACACACAATTTTCTGGCTCATTTAGCCATACCAATAAACCGCCAAGAATAGGAGAATGAGGAAGCTAGCTTGCGCATTTTCAAGCTAATCCCCATTCAGGCCGCCGGGTTCCGCGCTTGCCCCGCGCCGGAACCTTGAAGCCCCAGATCCCGCAACCACGAGCTGAAGTGTCACAAGCCCAGCAATTGTCAGCTGAGAGGAGCGCTCAAGAAGCTTGTCAAGCTTTGCTGGAGCCCCAGGAAGATGATTGTAAGCTTCCAAGATACTTAGCTGACTTGGCGGGGATGGTATTTTGGAAGGGAATCTATATACTACGACATGTTGGAACTTCGGAAACCAGCTTCGACCACGAGACAACGATTGTGTGTAAGCCGTTTTTTGAAGGAAACGCAGCAGTCTAGGTAAGGATGCCCTTTGGGCCGGACACAGAATTCTAGAGTCTAGAGTTTTGCCTGAAGCTGCAGATCCTGAAGAATAGGCCTTTCCGTGTAGTGGTATGACAGCAAGGGTCGGCGAGTGGAGTGTGTCTGGATACCTTCTTGCTGTAAGCCAGCCACATGTGCCATCTTGCCTGACAATCTCAGCAGTTTGAAGCTTGGTGGCCCATATCTTGAGCCTCAAATGCTCCCACGAGAAAGTCTGTAGTCTCCCAGGCGTCTCGGTCCTGCAGCGAGTTGAGCAGCAACCTCTGAACTTGTTCCCAACACAGGCATCCCCGGCTCGGGACCCAGTGCCAAGTGATATCCTGACCTCAACGCCTTTCAGGGCCTTCATCTTGGCGGTTCTCAACATGTGGTCGTTTCAGGGATGATAAGAATTTATCTCACAGGAACCAAAATTCGACAGACATCTACATTGGGCTCCTTGACGGTTGTCCTTGTGAAAGGCCGGCTCCGACTCACGCAGCATTCCCAAGCACAAGGAGTCTTCTGGTTGTGATGTGTGCTCATGAGTGCTTATCCACTTTGAGCATCGCAGTTTGGCGTCAGCTTTGCAATGCCATTGCTGTCTCGACGGTCTCTACAACAACACGTATGACGACCGTCTAACAAACTCCGAAAAAGCTGCTGCTGACGATGATGCTGGTGATGAACTGATGATGTGTCTTATCATTATTGCCTTTGTCATTCTGATGCTTTGTTTTTTCTCATCATTCGAAGGCTAAAAGTCAGAGGCTTTCAGGCTTGCAGCATAAGCCGCCCAAGGCTATGTATCTGCCCCAGCACTTGCTGCTGGCAACTTCACAGCCTCAGCCTCGATTACCAGGATTTATGGTTGCAGGTTTTCGGTTGAGATTTGGGGGTTTAGTCAGGGTTCCTGGGTTGAGGTTTAGGGTCTGAGGATCCATCTGCCTGGTTTTGGCTAGGTTTGCAGCTGTAGAGCTTAAAGTTAAGTGGCTCGCCTTGGGGCTTTGAATGTCTGCGGAAGGGAAGTCAAAGGGCATGGATGAAGCATGTGGTTGAGAACCAAAGGAGTGTCTGAAGTCTTTATCACGACTTAGACGCCTGAGTCAATGGACAAATTTAGGGCGTTCAGTTCTCCAAGTGCCCAGCGGGTTAACGAAATAGGACTCCACCAATCTGTCCACTCCATGCTTGTCGCTCCGCTTGCAATCCTGTGGCTCAAAAGTGCCCGTGGCCGAACGCATCCAGAAGCTTGGCAGCGGCCTCGACTCTAGGGGCCGTAGGGGAGAGGTATTATTATTATTATGATGATCCTTTCTTGTAGTGTCCAGCTAGACAGTTCCTTCAAGTTACTGCCTCCCTAAGCTCTGTGTATCAGATTCGGAGCTACATACAGGCAACCCCCTCAGTAAGCTGTAGGTTTTGAGGAACACCGGAGGCGTTTGCAAAGGCGCAGCAGGTCAGCAGGCTTTGTTCTCACCTGGCTTACGTGGCCATCTCAAGCACATGTGGGGTTTTGGCAATTTGGACACCGTGTAGGTTCTTTTATACTGTTATCGCATGTCACTGATTTTGCGAAGTTCAATCCGCACTTTACCGTTTGCTTTCCTCAAGTCCAGCCAAGCATTCAGATCGTGGATGCGACGTTTCACAAGCGATTTGACTACTTTATCTTGCATGTCTCGCAGACCGACCAAGGTTTTGGGACCACAGAGCGCCACGCAGAAAAGCCACTTGGTGGGAACAGGTAAAGCCGCTGCTTCTGTTTGGCAACTGAATTCTGTAGATGCAGCTTTCTCGAGTTCTGTATGTTCGTTCTGTTCATAATACCATGACTGCCAAGCACGAGAAAACAGCTCAACAACCGTAACACTGTCACAGAAGTTGCTGTAGCTGGCTACTGATACTGCTACTGCTGCTGCTGCTCCTCCTGCTGCTACTACAGCAGACCAGAGAATCTTAAGTTGCGAGAAGTCTTGAAGTACGTAGCTAGCCACTGAGGGTCCCTCACAAGCGTCCCTCCCAAGAGCCCTGAAGAGCCGAAGGCCATGCCCCTCATCGCGCCGAAAGAAGCTGCTCCTGTGACTGGCCTGAAGTTGGTACATGGAGTTCCTCCCGAAACGTGGGAGTGGCGCGTTCGATTCGGAAACTACTGTATTGCTTCCTCCACGCCTTCACACTCCCTCGAGGTTTTGGGTTGAGGGTTAGGATTGCGGGTTGAAGGTCGACGTTCACATGTGGTGGGTCGTGAATGATATCATGCATTCAGAAAAAAAATTGCCACACGAGGCCACGCCTCAGAGCTGGCGGGCAGCACCCGGAGCTCATACAAACTGAGAATCTGCCCAATAAGGTCTATGGGCTGGGCCTGGCATCTTCGGGGTTCCTGAGGCCTTTAAGACGCAAACCCATCAAAGCTTCATGTCTGTGAGGTCAAAATGTCGGCCAAGATGTCGCCGGAGCTTGAGCTGTTCGTTGTCTGCGGCTGGGGCGGCTCAGCTGCAAGGAGGGTGCACAAGTCGCATCCATATCACTTGTTGAGGTGTACAGTACTCGGACTCAGCATCTTTCTGGCTACACAGCAATCATTCCTCTTCTTTAGATCCTCTATCTTGTCATTATAGTGCTCCGTCTTGATGTGCAATTCTTTAACTTCTGTCAGTCAGTGCGCAAACGAACTTTGCTCCATGACAGAAGTTATCCTTGAACGCTTGCACTCTTACCTTTTCTTGTTCGGGATGCCGAGGCAAGTGCCCGAAGCGGTGCCAGCCTCAGCTGGCTTGGATCTTGAAGTTGAAGTGCAGCACCATGGGCTCAGGCCACTTGTGTCAGGAGCAGTCAAGAGCTTCACAGGAGATTTCAACCAGTTACTAAGCCCAGGTCCAAATGCATGCATTTTGTGAATAGAGCCAGCCTCTCCACATCTCTCTGCCAGAAGGTTGGAGCGTGCGATGAAGAGGAAGCCCAACGTGAACTTCAAGAACGAGGACGGGAATAGTTCATGCAAGGTGCTCATTGCTCATGACCAGCTGTTACTCCCATTGCGAACTTTCCTGCTGTTGCCGTTCTTCACCATCATCGTTTCTGCAAAGTAACAGGAGGAGTAGAAGAAGCATCATCATGAATCCTGAGCCCATATTGTTCTTGACCCCAGGATGGCCTTACGCCGCTCTTTAACGCGACGATGTGCGGCTCCGCAGACTTCGTGGAGAAGTTGATCAAGGCTGGCGCTTCAGGATTGGCTCGGGGTTTGGGGGTGTGGGAGTGCACAGAGGCTGACCAGAATGCGTTTCGGAAGTGGCGAAGGGAGGAGTTTTCTGAACTCCTCCTAACGGTCTTGATTGACACTTCAGAAGATGGCATGGAGCGGTTGGCCTAGAAAATCAGCATGGGAGTTGATTAGATGCTTACCATTCCCAAAACGGAATCCTGAACAAGGATGCCACAATCCCTAGTCCTTGCGTTCTCCCACCAGGCCGGGGCTGAGCCCAATGTGGTTGCCACCGAGTACCTCCTGACACCACTTGAATGGGTCACCGCAGCCTGGGCAGCAATGGCATAGGGCTGTTGAATGCCTGAAATATTTGTTAGTAGCTTCATGGACGTGATCAAAGCCGCACCAAGTCTATCAGCAAGAGAGGTTTGTTGAGGTTGAGGTATACTTGGCCTTGGCTCAGCCCCCAAGCTGAATTGGAGATCAGCTGTTCAGATGCTGAGGCAAAAGTCAATTATGACGAAGAGCGAGACCGGCGTTTGAACGACTTCGACCAGGCGGGAAGGGGAGCAAGAGTACAAGCAAACTCATCAGTGTTGTATCTTCAGAAGCAGAGACGACATGTGCAAAGTTATGTCAGCCAGCACATACAGACAGGGCGCGAACCCAGAAGGACAACCCAGGTTGAACGAACAACCACCAGATACGATCAGCCCCGAAGACATGTCCACCTTTTAGGCCACTTTATCATATCCGGCACCCCCATCAAAAGAAGTGCACAGGTGAACCGACTGGATGACACCTGCCTGGCCATCCGACCAGACATCGAGCCCTTCAGGAAGGTGAAGCAGGTCTGCCATCAGACAGATGGTCATCATAGTCATCATACTGCCTTTGCTGCTTTTGCTGCTCCCGCCGCTGATGCTGCAGCCGTTGCTGCTGATTTGCTGCACCTGCAGCTACCACTGGTCTGTGAGGATATGAGCAGTTACAGCATTTTATTGCATCTGGCAAATGTGGGGTGGGATATGGATGGTCTTTGAGCAGTAAGATTGCTTGACCCGCAAATCCATATCCTCGACTAACAATGTCCGAAGCAAACCAGGAAACCGCTAGCTGCAGACCTCCATGTTTGAAACCTCTCAAACTCCCAAATCTAGATCGCAGACTCTTAGAGGTGCTGGAGAAGAATGGTGGCGTTGAAGCAAAGGCCTTCTCCAACAATCCGAAGATCAAGCCAGCCGATCGGACTTCTTTCAGATTGTTTTATAACCATGTTCAGGCGCGGCATGGGGTACATATTGGTTCGCTTACGGTACACACTAGGCACAGTTTCAGGTGCACAGACGCAACCCCAGATCGGCATGGTAGTCAGAAAACGGGAAATCCAAACGGATGCCTGCATTTTCAAGCTGGCAACACTTCCCCGCTGCAGGTTTGATCTCAAGCCCAGTTGGTCTCATTCATTTTCCGCTCAGGATAGACCAAGGAGTCGTAGCAAATCGGACACTGTCGTGAGAGTCCCTCATCTTGCTGGTGCAGCCCAAGAAGTCCTTTGTTTATGTCCAAATCCTATACTTTCGGCACTTTGTGAATGTACATGTGGAGATGCCCTTGAGTTCGACTCAGGACGGCTCCATTGATGGGGGAAAGCCATCCGAGCTGAGATCTTATAAGTTGCAACTTGCTGGCACTAGTGTTGGTTGACCTGTGGGTATCACACACATGCTACTCTGTGACGCACTGCGGACAGAAAGCTGTGGGACAAGCCCGAGTGATGTCAGGCTGGACGGGATTCTACCTCACCTTTAGCTGCGTCCCAACCTTGAATGAGGTCAGCAGACGGTTCCTACACTGCGTCGCACTACCTCCGCTCGGGCAAGTTCGACCTGTTGAAATATGAGGACCAAACAGCTGGTTGTGCTGGCCAAGCATATGTGACCCGTATGGTTCGGACTCTAAAATGAAAGCCGTAGTCTTGAAATATCATATGTGAGCCTGGACAGCGGCCTCGTCCTGCTGAGGATGGACGGCTGGTGGAGTGCGAGTATGCCCTGGACTCAGACATAGCCGCCGCGATTGGCGGCGAAGCATCGAACCATGAGCAGTGGAGAATGCTGTACACTAATGTTGACATGAAGCTTTTCCCAACATCCTTCCTGACGGCAGTGGCAAGCGCGACAAATGGAACTGGGCTACTGATGGAAGAGTTGCTGCCTCGCATGATGTGCCTCCAAGGATCCAAAGACAGGACATTGGGAAGGCTATGAGGCCGCTGCGGCGACGGCGTGACTCGGCATGCTTTGGACATGATCCTCCAGTGAAGAACCTCGACATAAACCCTGACGTACCCATTTGTCCTTTAATTATTTTGTACATAAGCCGTTGTAATTTCGGAGAGGGCAAGAACTCCTACAGACACAACACCTGGATATGGCCCTGAAGTCCACCTGAACCATCCTAAACCCCAAGCTCCGAACACAGAACTTGAAGCCCAAAGCCCAACATCAGCCGCAGGTGAAGCAGTGAGGGGGGAGCCAACCTCCGGCGCAGCGTGGGCTCCCGTTTCTAGCGCATGGTCGCCAGGATCATAGGAGCCAGCGCACTTCCCTCTTGGATGGGGTTGACAACTTTGAGGTCAGAACAAGAAAGATGTACGGATGGAAGAGTCACTAGGCTCTGCCTCTACGGGGGTTTGCTTCTTCCTTGACCGGACTCTGGAGACCAGAACTGCCCTGGAACAGATCAGTGGGCCACCCACAAAGCAGCCCTGCAACATCACGGCTATCATCACTGTCACCACGCTTCTCCATAGTATGACTGCAGTTTGCATTATTTCTCATAGTTGACATGGCTACTTGTACTTGTCTGATGGGTGGAAGCACCATGGGCGGTATTGATCATGATCTACTACATTTGTTTTGGTTGTGTTTCAGCATTGCTATGATATCTGTTCTCACGTGCTCTCCTGTGAATAGGTTTCCAGCTTGTTCAGGCTTTTGGCAGGCAGAGCTCTGGCAGGCTCTGTCGAAGATCCGAAGTCGTGTGGCCGACTGATCTCCGTGTGAAAGCTGTTTCAGGGCTTCGACCTCTAGTCGCCTGCGGAAAAGAAGTGATAGCTGTGACATGGGCCTGTTTGTATTATATCCATATACGTAAGAACATGCATCGCGAGAGTATGCCACGAATGACCCAAATCTTGCGAGCTGTACCAGAGTTCTGACACGCGTCCGACTGAACTGTCCCGGAGGCCGCCTCGTGCTTTCTCACGTTGTAACTTGATCTAGGTATAGCTGGCTTTAGAATGTGGAATAATCAATTTCTTAAACGAATGAAGAGGAGGCTGGCCCACTCTTGTCTGTGATTTGAGGAAATTGTGAACCCCAGAGCCTCAACAAGGTGTATGCAGCGTCTAAAATATGAATGTCTGGAAGTGCAGAACCTTGCCACACATCCAGGCATGAAAGAAATCCAACCCAACATCCTCGAACATCCTCTAGAACAAGTCCTTCAGACAATACGATGACAACTTGTTGTTACGCATTGAGTCCAAAACCATACGAAAGCTTGAGGTAGACTTTCCCATTTCCTGGCCCCACCTTCACCAAAGCAAATCATTGTTTCCATCCAAGCCAAAGCTCGAACTTCTGCACCCTAAGCCCTATAAAACAATAAAACAAAATCCTTGAGCCTTATGAATGTCAGTCTTCGAACCTCCTTTATGCTCCCAATTCCAAACCTGAAGCCCCTTTCGGCCTTTATCCACATGTCCCCCTATGGAATCCTCTAAAATCCGTTCCTATCCCCTATCCCAAAATAGAATCTCTGTCTCATCCCATTTGTAATCCCTGTGCGTCCTCACGGAATCCTTGTACAATCCCTTCTAACCCCTGTTCTTCATCCCTGTATCCCTTTATCTTAATCCCTGCGTCATCTGAATTTAATCCCTACACAATCTCTATGTGCTACCTACAGCATCTGAGCATCACCCATGCATCATGTGAATATAAACCTGTCAATCATTCCTATATCCCCTTATAGAATCCCCAGCTGGAACTTCGAAGCCCTCAGAGCCCAGGGCAGCCGAAGCCCGGAGCCGCCGAATTGACCTGATGGATGGCCTGCCAGATGCCCAGAAAGTTTTTTTCAAGGTTGAGGGACTCAGGAATGTAGGAGTCTGGAGTAAGAGTTTCCAACCATTAGGGTGAGAACTCCTATGCCTCCCCTGCTTGGTGAAGAGTGATCGAACTGCTATACATGGATTCTTCATGAGAAAAGGCGTGCCCCCGGCGAGTTTCGGGATCTAGAGGTCAAGGCTTTTTTAGGAAGCTGAAAGATGAAAAAGATTTGATCGGGCTTGTAAGGGTCCTAGGATACTGACTGCCTGGGCTAAGGTGGGCCGGTTGGCTCGTTTTTCGAGTCCTATGATGGGATTACAGTCCTAGTGATGTGACATGCGGAGCTTGATATGCGTACAGGACGGATCCGCCTCATAAAGCCAGAGTCGTTTCACGTACCCTCCAGGCTTGTGTACAAGGATGCCAGAAGCTTTGGAATTCTTGTAATTTAACGTGTCAGCACCCATTTATGCCGTGAGTGGAATGACATTTCTGCATTCTTGGTTTCTTTGTCATGGTGCCAAGGAGACTGTCAAGTTCCCGGTCCAGCATAGGCGCGGAGAGGAGTGAACCCTGAAGCTGAGTCCTCCAGCAATCTAATTGCTAACATTTGCCAACATTCTGTTTCTGGCTTGGTATGTCATGCTGCGGAAGCCGCAAACCTCAAATCGTGACTCCTGAGTTCCACGCCAACAGTATCAGAGGACGCGCAACGACATTCATGTTGTAGTCATGCTAGGGAGCCAGTTCTCGCTGGAAACGGTTCAATTATTGGGGATGGTAAACGGATCTAGGTAGCCACTTCTCCATTCCCTACTAGCAACAAGTAAGTCAAGGGCTCGACTCACCACAAGCCATCGCAGCTTGTTCGGGGCCTGGTAGTAGTCGTGCTGGAGGTGTGTTCGTCCTGGGTTTTCTGCAAGCTTTTGTGTTGCAGGTTCAGGGGTTTGGGTGCTGGTTCTGGTAGATGGCTCAACCGGCAACCAGGAACCTGAACTTGGTATGGGAGGGAGAGTTCGAGCTTTATCTTTTCATGGGCGCTTCCGAGACTAGACACAATATGGGGTCTCGAGTTCTCTCACATTTCATCTGCTCAAGGCCACCGCTGCATGACAACAGCGCATGAAGGAAGTCTAAACCTGGAACGCGGCATTAAACTCCAGAACGAATAAGAAGCTTTGCAGGTTCCATGTCATCCCCATTGCTGTCAGTGCTTCGACTCTTGGCAAAACCGGTGAAGGCCCGTGACGAAGCGGATGGAGATGCAGAGACACTCCCAATCTCATATGCACTTAGCTAAGGGCTCTGGGGTCATTCGAGAACCTGTTGGTAGGCATCCTTCTGGTTTTCCTTGAGTTGGATCTTCGGAGGCAGTCCCAAGATTTAGTGCACCCAAGATTTAGTGCATTTCCTGTTTCCGGGGAGGTTTGGATACTGCTTGTCTGGAAATTTTGATCGGCTGTAAGGCCATTGAGCTGAGTCCTGGCATATTTTCGTATTTGTACTTCAAGGGCCGCATCCCACACTCTTTCTCGGACTTTCCATCCTCTCTCTCGTCTTTCAGTTCCACAATAACCTTTTCCATGAGCAAAATTCTGCACATCACATGTGGTATGGCTGTGTGTGTGTGTGCTTTGCGCAGATATGTGGGTCAAAGCATGGGTTCACAATTCTGCAGTCAAACGCCGCTGAAACAACGCTCCTCAAAGAACGGTGCTAAGCAAGTAACAGAGCTGGAAGGTCTCGTATGAACAAGGCATTCACCTCTTCTCTAGGTTTACAAATCTTTCACAAGCTCATATAGGATGGAAACACAATCAAGTGCGACCAGGGTTTCGTCATTCTGAATTGCAGTTGAGTCCTCCCCAGAAGCGCGATTCAATCTACGCCTCTGAGGTAGCTCTGCAGTAGCTCTTTAGTAGCAGCCTTTCATGGAGCTCCCAGCGCGGTTTGCGGTTTGCAGTGGATGACATCGGCTCGGTCTTCACAAGCCTCTTCAGGCTCCAAGAGTCAGAGGTCAGGAGCCTCCGACGCCTCCAAGGCTTCCAAGGACAGCCAGCATGATGACGTTAGGAAAGATTCATTGCGCGCGCAAAGGGCGACTGCGCTCCGCTAAACCCGCTAAACCCGCTAAACCCGCTAAACCCGCTAAACCCGCTAAACCCGCTAAACCCGCTAAACCCGCTAAACCCGCTAAACCCGCTAAACCCGCTAAACCCGCTAAACCCGCTAAACCCG